ATCTAAACTACGTTGTTGAAAGGGGCCAAAGTAATGTTGCCATTGAAAATACAAATAAATGAAACATAAACTTGCAGCTTTTCGAAACGTTCTTCGACAGCGAAAGTACAGCTGTGGAGCAAATTAATAGTTTAGATGAGTACACGCACACACAGCTACACTTCGGCCTTTGGAGGAATAAACCACTACTTAGAAGATTTTTGAAATAACAAAAACCGGTATGGTTTTGCATAGATTTCATTAGCATATTATTTTCACCATACACCATCAGTAGGACCACGATCAACACCAGCTCACGAGATTAACGCATGTTTAAAATCAACCTATCTAGAAAATTGTCTTCCACACACAGCCGCTTGATATTAGTAATCACAAAATCATCGTTAACCATCGCCTGGATACGTCTTATTTCCTACCAACTTAATTTCGCAGATTCAAAATAAGATAGCTGGCGAATTAATGACATTTAAATCGATTGACTCTGTTTTTAACCAAGGTGATGGTGCCAACTATCCAATGGAGTTCTTAAATTCGCTACCACATCATAACCTTGAAATTGGATCCGTAGCCAATATTTTTCAAGCCGAAAAGTACAAAGCGAAGTCGTTTTGATTCAAAGGATTCTTTTGATTTCGTAAGGCATACCATTTGACTTAAGGCGAGTTCAACTAGGGTAGCGAATACAACTTTTTTCAATTAAACAATTCGCTTCAGTGTAAAGGTAGTCAAAACGATTATTCATGTTTTGAATGTTTGTTTATATATATATATATTTTTTTTTTTAATTTTTTAATTGTATTGCTGAAGATTTTCAAACGAAATTTGTGACATATTTGAAATAAAAAAATGTGAGTTTTTTATTTAAGTTGAATTGATGCGGCTATTAATCAGTAAAAAACGCACTTTTGTGCCATTTAGTATTTGCATATTCCTTACCGTAATAAAGGTAAAACTTCATTGTGGTTTATTATGGATAGAAGGGTTCCTTCTTTCACTAGTTCATCTGCCGTGCAATTGCTTGGAGTGTTCGGGTACCCAAACTATGGCAGTTGTTAGTCCAGAGTTTTTTGCTGTGGTACTGCTTGGAAGACGCTACAGTGCTAATATCATTACTGAGAGTCCGCTTTTTTATCGGGTTTTGAGCCGTCAATTCATTCCTGTTTGGGATTCTTGTCGAACTATTCCGTTGGGTACATATACCACTTTTTTTAAATACTTTTATATCATGGTTAAATATAACATATTCTTCCAATGTAAACATTGAGTAAATAATAATTGTAATCAATTATATAAACTACAACCATCTGCATAGCGTTACAAGTACTGTAATTCTAGTAATCTCTTATAACCACAGCAATTATAGAACTTTACCTTATGCATATTTCATTTAATGTTACTGAGTCTTATAGCCACTGCCAAAGAAGTATATTAATATACGTTCTTTTCTATTGCTTACAAAGTTCTTTTCATGTTCTTCAAGAATTCCCTAACATCCCATAAAACAAAACGACTTTACTGTAGCAAACTCTGATTTTTAAGTTCACGACATTAATTTTAATTTTTGTTTTTTCTTCCTTTCTGGCTTGTTTTGAATTATTAATTCAATTTGACAAAAATGTACTGTATCAACTTGTCATGAATTAGACAATTGTTACACTGAAAACAAAAACAAAATTAAATTTTTTGAGTCCGTCCAAGGCAAATGATTAAGGTACACTATGTCAAATAATTGTTGCAAAATTGAAAAAAATCACAAACATCTCTTTTTAAATTTTATTTTTTTAAGATGAAGAGATTGGTAATGTTAATCTAAGTATTCTTGGAAAATATCACTCGCAGAAATAACAAACTTTAAAAAAATAATAACAAATTTAAAATTCGCCAAATATTGCATTGTCAATTAATTGTTTGCAAAATGCCCACACAATCCAAAATAAAACGTAGATAACGGTACCAGAAATTTCAAAACGAGAGAACGTGTCCGTCATAGCTATGTGTTGCTCTGTTACACCCAATTCGATTAATGTGCTTTTAACAATGCCCGGCAAACGAAATCTTATTCAGTCAATGTTCTCCGTTAAGCTTAGTACTAATAATATATTATTATAACTAAACGCGCAGAAAAAGAAAACAGGTTAGAATTAAAGCACTCTGGAGGTAGACCACCTAAATTTTCTAGACGCAATCATTCAAAAATTTTAAATTAGATCATTGAAATTCCTTAATACACCTTTAGAAAATTGGCCTTAGATATTAAAAATGATTGCCATAAAACAGTAAATCACGAGACAATCCGAAAAGTCTTAAAAATGCACAAGTACTCCTCGCAACTAGCTAGAAAGAACCCATTGTTGTCGGTAGTTAATATTGAGAAGCGGCTCAACTTTTTTATTACCAATATTTACAGGACTGCGGAATACTAGGATAACGTTATTTTTTGCGTCGAGACAAAAATAATGATATGCTATCATAATACCAAATAATAGTACCAACACTGCTATATTTTCCCACTTTTAATTATATTTGCAATAATTGTTTACAAAATGCAAACAATTATTGACATAATATTTGCTGTCTTTTGAATTTTTATATCTCTTTTACTTTTATTTCTTGAATTCTGGTGCACTATTTATGTTAATATTATTAAGACTAATGTTATTTAAAAAAATGAAGTTAGCGAAAATTGTTTTAGTTAATAAAAATCAAGTTAAAAATAATTTTGTTTGATTTTTTACATTTTACAGACAATTACTTGACATACTGTATGTATTTAGCAATATTACTCCATCCATCCATCATGATACGGTCTACTTCCCCCATTGATGTCACCGAGCCAACTTATATATATTATACTTATATCATAAAAAACAAATATTTTTTCTTTTTCTTTTTAATGCATATGTATTTTCTTATACAGGAAAAAACACAAATTATACAATTGGTTTTGGTACTTATGTGTTAACTCAACCGCGATTTTTCTTACTTAACAAAATGATAGAAGAATTAACAAACAACAGGGTACTGGCGTAGTCTTTGTTCATCAACCACCAAATGTGAATAAAAGCTTTACACAAAGGTGCTGCTGCGTGGCGTTAATACGTAAGTACAATTTTTTTAATGCAATACCGCTTTCCTGCGTATACGCTTACATATATTAAACGCTTTACTACCCGACAAATTAACTTTTTCTCAGCACCAAAACTTCAAGTTTTCAGCTTAAGAAATTTTATCATTAAATTATATTATTATTATTTCAAAATAGGACGGTTAATTAATATTTGAAAACAGTGCTGTCCAAGCTAGTGGCCACTTGGCCACTTGTGGCCAAGCGGTAAATTTCAGTGGCCAACGTAAAGACTTTAAAATTTTTTTAATAATGATTCTAATATTTTCTAAAAAACGATTGAAAATGGTAACCGAAGCGATTTCATCTTCGCTGTACTCGCGTCGTCGCTTTATTTTCCTAAAATAAACATTTGATAAATTTATGATTTTGCCTTTTCAATATATTTTAGCTTCTCTTGAATTGGCAGCGCTCGTTAAATGATGCCAAATCTTGATTGTATAGCAGCGGTGCGGCATGCGCATTTCATTGGTTTATGTTTAGATTTGTTGGCGACTGTTATCCGCTTGATTGTATTTGGTGAGGCAAAATATGAATCATGTCGATATTGAAATATAACGGGAACAATCGCGCCGAAAATGCAAGAACTGTCACTCGGCTGCGTGTCGTTACACGAATAAGTCATTTGAAATTCACTTGCCAATTTATTAGTTCATTGTCAGATGAGTTAAAAAAGTGTTCAGTTCACAGTGAAATATGGATCGTTTCTTAATTACAAAAAAAAAAAACCTGATGAAATTGGAGGAGGTGAAACAAGTTCATGTATGTATTTGAAGTTTTTAAGGACCTGCTCCTCAGCATATTTGAGTTTGGGATTATACGTTTATTTTTGTTATATGTTTATATTTATTTCCGTCACTGCTGCTGAAGGCGAACAAATTAAAAACGTTATATAGGTCATATTTGGAAATTTATATTTTTGTAATGCTTTAGCTTTAGGTTAGTTTTCTCCACATGTTTTTTCAAAAAACAGTGTCTTAGGCAAACAGTAAGCATTTTGGCGGTATTGCTATACGCGTAAATAAACACAAATAAACAAAAATTATAACATTGGGACCAAAAGAGCAATATTTCTGTTTTAGAAAGCCTTATTAACTTGTGTTTGGAGATTTACTTTTGTAAAGGGAGGTTTTTTAATTTATTTGATTTTTGGGCATGAAGATCCAGCTTATTATAAGGATGAAGTGGGTATAAAGTCTTGAGAGCATTCCAAGCCAAAAGAAATTTATAAAATAAATACTGTATTTTAAAAGAATAAATGTGATTTGTTGGCTCCCAAAAAATTTTTGAGAAGTGACGTAAACCATCTGCAGTGAAATTAAATATAATCACATATGAGTGAACAAAAGCAATATATTTTACAGTTTTTCATACATGTATGAATAGTAGGTTGTGAAAACTAAAACGTTCACATACAAACATGAATGAGCAGTGAGTGAGAACTTCTGTAACCTTTATGTATGTATTGTAAATTTTCTCTTTTATTTCCTTATTAAATTCAATTTATGTATATATTATACATACATATGTATGCACACTAAGTTTTATAGATTCTTACAAGCTATATAAATTTTTGTTAAAAATTATAATTTAAAATTTTGTAAAATTAAAATACATTTGTTTGACATAAAAATATTCAGAACGTTTTAATTGTTTTTGTAATTACTTTATAAAATTTACTATGCAAGGTTTTAGAATTTTATTGTCAAAATGCTATGACGTTTCTTAGATGAAATTATACAAATTTATTTTCAAATTCTCGGCAACCCATAATATTGAACTTCGTCATTTAACATATGACATATACGTGTATGTACATATGCATGAGTATATTGTGCTATGACGATTTTGTTCATTAAAGTACAGCATTGGAAAATCGATAATACAAATTTAGTGCGTCAAAAAAGTAAAATAAGACAGCTTGAGGTTTTCTAATAAAAAGTGGGTTAAGAGAATCTTGTTAAAACTAAGTTCAGCCGAGTTTCAAAAGTTAAAGACACAATAGGTTGATATTATTATAAATAATCTTAGCTCTGCTAAACAGAAGTGAGTTTCATTTTTTTCCATGGTAAAATTCTATCAGAATATAGTGTTCAAGCACTTTAACAAGAGCGTTTACGACTTTGAAATTAGAGTATTTGCAATTAGTTTTTTATGGAAGGAAAATAGCCAAAAAGAAAGTTCGAGTTAAATAAATTATAAATTATTTTTGTATTTCGCCGTGCGGGGAAATAGGATCCAAATAGTCCAACATTACTAACTATTGATCTGTTTGGTGGCCTGATGGGCATTAACAATAGTTGCCTTTTGACATTTTTTTTGCTGACATTTCTCATCGAACAAAGCTTATGCTCTTCCCTAATTCGTTACGCAGCATTTTCCCTCATCAATTAAAAAATCATAACCGAACTCCGTTTTGTGTAACTTTGTTTTGATTTTTCATTTTCGTCTGCTACTTCAAACTAAATATTTTCCGTGTCAGCTTCAGATACAATGTCTGTTAAATATTTTCTGTGCATCGCGAAGATTGTTTTCAAGTAACGCATGAATGTATCGAGGTGATAATAGAAGGTAAACAATAAAAATTTAAGTTATTTAAGTTTTATTAATTTCAATTTGAGATAATGTGAATGAGCTTAGGGAATATAATGAAAATGTAGAATCAAATGTTTCTTATTCGGAAAACTGTTGTATTTGAATTAGAATATATAACGATTTTGATAGCACAGGTAGATTTAATATACAACCCAGCAGAACCACTCGACTGGGAGAGAGAAATGAAATGGCAATAGCTTGTGACGGCGAAATGTTAGCAGCCGACGTTGTGCATGCATACTTTTTTTATCAAGTGTACAATTTTGGTGAACAATTTTCATAATTTCTAAAATCAAAATTAAAGTCAATAAAATATATGTACATATGTACATACGTGAACTATATTGTAATATATGTAGATACATATAACTAATTACAGTTTCAGTTTTCATTAGTTAAACACAAAATTTAGTCCTTACCTTCTTAGTTCGTTAAAATTTATTTATGAAAGATTCTCCTGAAAATCTTGTACAACAGAGAGCAAGCAGTGGAGTCGTTTTTGTGGAAGTAGATGCTAATTATAACCAAATGTTCCCGCATCTATTCAAACAGGGATCTTCATCCGAATTCTCTAGAGTTAATTAAAAAAAAAATGACCCCAGTATTTTAAATAATATTAATGGGACCCTCCCCTGAAATTGAGAAAAAATCAGGCAAATTATTTTTTTTGTTTGAGTATAAAAACGCGTCAGAACTTCTGGTTTTGATTATTAAATTTTTATTATTATTTGAGATTTTAAAATAGCAAAAAAATAGTCGAAATTCTAATTGATGCTTCCGTCGGCCTCTGCGCGAAAACATGGCCCAACAACTTCAATCCTGCAGCCTCTTCTAGTAGACTGAAATCAAAAATCGTTGTCAGTACTTGAAGATCATATAATGTTCTACATCCTGAACCTCAATTAAAACAATTATAAAGATCAATTTTGTTGCATAATGCTTATTGCACTTATAGAGTTAAATTTGTTGCTACCTTTTTCACTTCAATTACATCCCAGTCGAAGCGTTCCAGAAATCTTACGAAGCATGTAAAACGCGCTGGAATCCTTGTATAGTATATTATAGCCGACTTAACAAGATTGCGCCATTCGCTTCTTCTTTTTGCTGTTTGGTGGTTCAAAGCTGGAGTATTCATATCCATCCGGACCACATGACCTAGCCTGTATAGCCGCTGTCTCTTCATTCACTGAACTAAGTGAATGTCGCCGCATAACTCGTACAGCTATTCGCCGTTGCCAATGCGCCAAGGACCATAAATCTTACGCAAAACATTTCTTACGAAAACTCGTAACGCCGATGTTGTCATCGTCTATGCTTCCACACTATATAGCAGGACGGGAATTATGAGAAACTTGTAGAGTTTGGTTTTTGTTGGTCGGGAGATGACTTTAGTTTTCAATTGCCTCATCAGTCCAGAGTAGCACCTGTTTGCAGGTGAGTGGTTCTGCGCTGAATTTCAAGGTGTTGATGCTGGTTCCTAGGCAGACACCTGTTATCTACGACTTCAAAGTTATGACTGTCAACAGAGACGTAGGAGCCAAGTTGCGAATACTATGACTGTTTGTGTGATGACCCTTCGCTTCCTTATCCAGTCTGGAGAACACAGAACTGCCGGCGAACGCCATCAGCTGCACACTCTTACAGAAGAGCTCTACAGCTCGTATTAATTTTTCCATCAATAAGTTAAAAAAGTCACACGATAAGGACTCAACCTGTCAGCAACTTCGTTGGGTACCGAAAGGCTCGAAGAGGTCCTTACCGATTCTGACGGAACTTTTAGTGTTGCTTAACGTCAGTTTACATAGCCGTTTAAGTTTGGCGGCGTAAACGAACGGCTGAGCGTTTTTATAAAGATAGTTTATCTAATATCTTAAAAGCACTCGGAGTGGTTAACATTAAACGCCGAGGGGCGACCGCAATTAGAAAATGTAGCTTAACAACATTGGCAAGTGGAAGTAAGCAAAGAAGGCAACCTTCAGTGTTGGATATACTCCAGTGCTGGCAATTCACCGTGTTGTCTTCGGATTATAGGACTACGAAGCGCTCTTGCTACTTTTGAAAGATTAATGAATCAAGAATGATAAAAGGACTACATTATGAAAGATGGTCAGTGTATCTAAACGATATCAACGAATTGGACAATATGAAAGAATATTTCCAGAGGATATATTAATTTTTATATGTCTACACAGCGCTTCGCTCTTAAATATTTTTTTAAGTTTTTTTGAGTGATTGCCCGCTTGAAAAACGAGAAAGCGACAGGAGTTGACGGCCTACACGTAGAGCTATTCAAACATGGCGGTGAAGATCCGACAAAGTGCATGAACAGCTTGTTTGCAAAATATGGTCCGATGAAAGCATGCCCGACGATCGATTGGAACCCAAGAGTACTCTGCCCAATCCACAAAAAGGGCGATCCCACAGTCTGCGTCAACTTCCGTAGGATGAGCCTACTTAATACCGCATATAAGGTCCTATCGAGCGTTTTGTGTGAAAGACTAATGCCCACCGTCAACAAACTGATTGCACCTTATCAGTGTGGCTTTGGACCTGATAAGTTATCTATTGACCAGATATTCACCATGCACAAAATCTTAGAAAGGACCTGTGAAAAGAGGATAGACACACGACCTCTTCGTCGATTATAAAGCAGCCTTCGAAAGCACGAAAAGGAGCTGTCTTTACGTCGCTATGTCTGAATTTGGTATTGTTGAGCAAAGATAACTCCGTGCAGTTTGAGATCAATAAGACTTTATTCAGCATATATTCAATGTAGAATAGGCATTTATTGCAAAGGCATTGGTGAATGAAGAAAAGTGATATTTATAGTAAAAAATTTATAGATTTTTACTTTAGCCTCAATTTGGAATTAATAAATTCAATGTTAACTGCTGGTATCGCTTTCGTTAAATCATCTGCCAACATCTCGCTCGTAGAAATGTATATCAACTTTTATTCTCCAGCTTCTCTCGTACGAATTTCAACTTTATGTCAAAAGGTTTAGTTCGTGGTGAAATTGTTGTTACGAACAATGTATATTGCGCTCTTATTGTCACAATAGCCGATTTAACCAAATGACTTCTTGCATAACACCTACTACTGACATTAGCTCCGCTTCAGTAGATGACAATGCAATCGTTCGTTGCCTATGCGTAGACCAAGATATTGCTCCAACCTGCTTAACAAAAACGTAACCAAACATGGATCGCCTCTCGTCAATATCTCCTGCTCAGCCAGCGTCACAAAAACCAGTAAGACCATTAGCTGATTTCTTATAATCGATGCCTTTGTTAATAGTACCCTTCAAATACCGCATCACACGCTTCACTGCAATCCAATGATCTTTGCCGGAATTTGGTGAAAAACGACTTAACAAATTTACTGCAAAACTGATTTATGAGTATTTCGCGCTGCCTACAGAAGATATCTAATTGATTCCATATATGGAATGTTTTCCATTTCCTTATTTTCGTCTTCAGTTTGCGGACACACTTCTGCTGTTAGCTTTTGCGAAAAATCAAGTGGACTTGATACAGCATTACAATCGTCCATTCCAAAACAGTTAAATACACTGGAAATATATTCAGATCAAGTTTATTTACATTGTCCACTATATCACGCTGAACTCTCATTCTAAAAGACAACTTGTTCTTAATACTCTGCGCAGATTTTTCATCATTGGAGAAAACCAAAACGTCATCAACGTATATAGCCACGTACAACATGCTACGTTCAGTATAATAATAATAAATGCATTGATCCACTTCACTTCTAATAAGTCACAGGCTGATAAGCACCGTGCTCAATTTATCATTAGAAACTCTGCTCGTTTATTTTAACCCATATAAAGATTTTAGCAAACGACATACTCTGCCTGACCCATCATCGTAGCCTTCAGGTAGTTTCATATAAACTTCTTCTTAAAGCCCACCATTCAAAAATGCAGTAACTGCATTCAACTAATTCACCGCAAGCAGAAAACGTAGTGAATTGTATCTAACAACTGGTAAAAAAGATTCCACATAGTCAATTCCCTGCTTTTGAGAATAACCATTTACAACCAGCCTTGCCTTATGACGATCAAGCTCACCATAAGCATTACGCTTAACTTTGAATACCCATTTCAAATTTATTGCTTTTTTTACTATCAGGTAATTTCGTAAGCTGCCAAGAGTTATTTGATTTTAGCGAATCAATCTCTTCTTCCATCGCGAGTTTCCAAGCGATTGCTTCAGCACTACTAACATCTACGGGCTCATCAAAATTACACACTGCACCGCGCTCATTAACAAATTTTCGTTGGCCTTCTCTGCAATACGCTTTGACCGACGAGCTGCACATATGTTGTTGTTGTTGTTAACTGTATGCTGAACAGCTGCTTCGCTTTCGTCAGGAGTATCATATTCACTGTCAGAAGATTTCTTGACATCTAACGATTCTATTTCATTTTC